AAAATTAAATATTCACACAATTTTTCACAATGATCCACCGCCTGTGTGCAAAATAGGTGAACGTATGTGAAACATATACGGTTAGTACTTACTGTGACATATCCGTGACTAACTGACACCACTAAATTGGTAAAATGTTCCATGCAGAGAAATTACGAGGTTATCATCGCAGAACTCCCGAACACCGTACGTCACAAAGCTATATGTAAACAAACACGCGTGTTGCGAGGTGCCTGCTTCCGATATCCATTTCGAGGCCCGCTAAGCCAAGCATAAAGCGCGCGGGCAAGACGTCACACACACAGCTAACGTTTATTGGCTAAAACAATCGAGTAGCGCGGTTAAGAATTTTTGGAATTATTTAATTTGAAGAAAAACTTCAATGTTCAATGAATCATGAATGACGCACTTGTCCACTTCCGACAGCGAGTGAAAATGCCGAAATTTTTTCACTTCGATGCAAAATGCATCGGCTGGGCTTTTCATTATTTACGAAAAGTAAACAGGCTGGCGAAAGACAGTAGGTACAGTAACTAGTCACGTCGGTGACGCCCCATGTCCATCAACGAAGAAGGCGGGGCTTATTCTGATTACGGAGATGCGAAAATTCAACAGAAGGACGTAGCGCAGTGCGCTAAACAGCGTGTTATTTTCGTATTTGTGGCAAACTCTATCGTAGGAAACCGTTTTAACATAGCAGAATGCTCTAGTTCCTGAGATTGGCGATTTGGTGGTCCAATGGGTCCCCATCTTTAAAAATAAAATAAAAACTGGTGCGGCGTAGGCTGTGATTGGAAGACACAAAGTGTCAATCCTCGGCACGCCTCGGCATCATGGCCGCATCACGTCTAGCCTTAACGGCCGGACACACTAGGCGATTTTATCGGGCGACTCAGTCGGGCGACTCAATCGCCAGTGAAAATTGCCTAATGTGTCCAGTCAGTCGCCGCCGTCCGATTTAGTCGCCCGATTTAGTCGCCCGATTCAATCGCATCGATCAAAACGTTTTGATATTATCGAGCGATTATTTCAGTCGCGCGACTCAATCGCCTAGTGTGTCCACTCAACTCGCGCGATAGAACCGGGCGATATTATCGGGCGATATTATTGCCCGATTAGATCGCATTAAAATCGCCTAGTGTGTTCGGCCCCGGATCATCCGTATGTAGCCTTACAAATGAGAAAATGTATTCTAACTAGAAAGAAGGCACTCGGGGAGTGCGAATCCTCCGCACACGCGATCACTACACCTGTAATATTTTGTAGGCTGCGGTGAGTATTCTAAATCACAAATAATTTTCTTGTACTAATTAAAATCCTTAATAGCGAGAAGAGAAAGTTCTATGGTGGAGCGAGGAAACCCTTTACCAACATGATTTATGGTAATTTTGAGACCACTTTAGCCTTTGGAAAACATTTTGGAGAAAATTTCTAATCTGGATAGTCCCAGTCATCTATATAAGATGTTAGCCAATGATTACTGATTGGCACTCAATGCTTGGCAATTCAAAAGGTATCAATTCAGATCGACGGAACCACTGAGATAACCTTGACAGGAAAAACTAGCAGTGTTCCCTTCGCTGGGCCTCGTCTATTTAAGGAGATATTTTGCGGTGAACCATGAGTTAGCGAGTGACTAGAATTGTTAGAATAGTTGTTGCAGCCGGGTTTCCTTTGATCTTCTCTAGTTGCTTGATGCTGAGCATTCTACTTTAACATCTCATTTGAAATATATTGCGAGCGGTTTATCAATGATCCAGCCATGCAAACGGATGAGGATATGCCTTGAAGATGTTTTTCAGTAAAGCAGGCTCGTCATTGCGGGCCGGGTAGCGTTCATTTTTTCAGCCAGCACTTTTCGTTCGACTGCTTTAAATGTTAACGTTAGGTGCACTGTAAAACATCATTAACACTAAGTACTTCATGTTCTAGATCCATTAAATTTTGTAGCCGTCACGAATAATGATTACAATGTCTGTAGCTTGGTCATGAATTGCTGTTGGTTTCACGATACTGACTTCAATACCTAATTTCTAGACTCGCTTTGCAATATAGATGATTTGGGGCTTGTTCTTGATTAAGGCTCTTTTCAGGAAGTGCAATGTCGTACGCAGGGTCTGGCCATTGATTCTGTTCGCTCGTTGCCTTCTTAGTCATCATCGATTTTGAGATCAAAACGTGGTTGGCATTACGCTTACATTGTCCTGTCGTTCACTCCTCGTGTCGTAATCTAGGACGAGGATGTAGAGAAAATTAGCCTTGATAGCTCGTTACAATGCCGGTGTTTTCATGTCGTATGTTTTCTATGGCGTTTCTCTGTGCGGCAGGCTTAGAGCGCATTCCCCTATTTAATTGTCAGCCCATAATGTCTAAGATTGCAGATTCTTACAGGCCTGATGACTGAATCAAGTGGGTTCTTGAACAAGCGCGTAGCCAAGGGGGGTCCTGGGGCCATAGGACCCCCCAATCCAAATCAAAACAAAATAAAAAAATCATTTATGGTTTTTTTTTTTAATGGTTATTTGGGTTAGGTGTCGTTGTAGAGCTGCAGAAGAAATAGTATTGTCAACAAAACAGCGTCTAAATTGATTTTAAAGCACTATTTTTACATTTAACTTAACAACAAAAATCCTTGTTACTCGCTCGAGGACCTCCCCCCCCCCAATCCAAATTCCTGGCTACGCCAGTGTTCTTGAATAAAGTAGACGAATCTGATAAGAGTAGGAAGTTTATTGCTATTGGCACTTCAAGCCATCTGATGTGTGTTTAATTACTGGAGCTTATTACCTCCCTCTGAGTCTGAGTATGGCGTCACGGTCAGTGAGGTCTCGTATTCGATAGCTAAGGTTAAGTTGTATGCCTTCGCTGCTATTCGCCATAAACTGATATACTTATTACTGCTATAGTCAGCCGCTCATGTTACTCGACTGTATTCGATGATATCATTACAGATGTATCAGCTGCCGCCGATATGATAATAACAGGAGTGAATAATAATAATAGATTAATAAGATAATAAGAGAATAAGAGAATAATAGAAAAATAATAGATCTATTCTTATTCACTCCTGATAATCACATACGGTACAAAATCAAGCATGCAGTGTCTCGCGTGTATATGCGCTATTTAACGTGACACATGGGAAATTAACGCGAAATATTTGTGCGATGCAATATATATAATAAGATAATAACGCCTTTTATTTCAAAAAAGATATCGCTCTCCGTTATGCACGTTTAAAAAAGAATATATTCTTTATATTCCTGTTGTAACGAGATGGCCTGGAATTTAAACTGCACGCCGTGGCTAAAATCCAATCAATTATGGTAACTGGGAATGTAGCTGTAAATTTTCGGCAAATCCTAACACATGCTTGTCGGAAATCGATTAAATTGTCGTAATAATGCGCATGCATTTTAATAAACTAGACTGACTTCAACATGGTTATTGAGGATTTTGTCAATATCACGCAGAAGCACCGCGAAATATTGCGCAGAAAATATTTAGCGGCCGTAATCTGTGATTTCTACTGTACGAACGTTGTTCGTGATGCAGTAGCATTAGACAGTAACAACCTAACATGAAGTTTGTATAAGAGATAAGAGATAGATATTCAGTCATTTACGGCAGAAATTTCCTGTTTTAGTGTAGATGATCTGCGAGTGTGTGCGTGCGTGTGCGTGTGCGTTTCCTGTTTTAGTGTAGATGATCTGCGAGTGTGTGCGTGCGTGTGCGTGTGCGTGTGCATATGTGTGTGTGTGTGTGTGTGTGTGTGTGTGTGTGTGTGCGCGCATATGTGTGATGCTAGATGGTCTTGGTCTTCAACTTTCATCAGAAAGCCAATAGCCACTAGTGTATATTTATTATCAGCTGCAGAAAATTAAAAGGCCGTAAGTAAATGACGATACAGCGAGATTTTATATCCCCTTATGTGCTCTAAAATACAGCGATACGGGGTGCGTATTGAAGGATTCTGTCTATGATTAATTGAGTTTACGTTATCAAACTTAAATATATTCGTGTATAATTAAAGTTGGTATTCGCCACGAACTCATAATTAACAAATATATGAAACATGTCGCGACGCAATATTAAATTACTTAGCAGGGGTAGGTTTCCAAGCAACAATTCTGAATGTATATTAGTATAATAATTACCAGTCGCGCGCCATATATAGATGGTCGTTTCACAGGCAATCTAAGTACTGTAGCATCAATTTAAAGAGGGAAATTTTGGGAGTCGTGATGAACAGTTTGTCAAATCTGTAAGTTAAATCTATCTATTCACTGTACCCGCTGTTAATTAATCAAGAGACGGCCAGCTAATTCCTGAGCCGGTCCTGCCATTACTGCTACAGTCGTCGTTTTTGCTGGTGTATGTCTTCTTTGCTGTTGCTATGTTTTTCTACTTTCACGTCGCCATCGTTGTCGCCAAAGAAATTTAAAGAAAGACATTACTAATTTAGCATTTCTATGGTTGTCGCCGCATGTTTTGTAGCGTGCGACATAACGCGATTAGACAGTTGCCGTCGATCGAATTACTGCATGTGTGCGAACACGAGCGAAGAACCATTTTTCCCTAAAATGAATAATCGCCACTAAATAAATAAAATATTTTTCGAAAATTGGATTTTGCATTGTGTTTAAATCATGAGTCGCTTTAGGCACTCTCGCCGATGCGCCTAGTTACGCTCATCTGTCATGGTAAATAGTAGTCAATCGAATATTACACTATTCAGTCATATAGGCCTGTCTAGATATGCGTTATACGGCCGACACAAACATTTTATACAGCACAATCTGGTCGATATCGAGCAGAGCGGGTTGATTTGATCGTGGTTACGTTAGGTAGTATACTGTAGCCCATCTTATCATATTTACATTGTTATGTAGACTTTCCTATCATTGCGGTGTTATCCATCAAAATATTGACACATAGTTACGTAGACTTTCATATCATTGCGGTGCGAAATATTGGAATATTTATCGTGTGACACCTACCGATGGGTCCATGACCATTCTAAGGCTCTTCACGAGACTGCTGTCGCTACGTTGTATGGCTATGCACATGTATCGGTTCCTATAGGAACCGAACAGTTTCAAATGAAAGCCATCGGCATCCGGGGACTTTGGCACAAAGTCTTTGCCGTAGGCGGACAGGTCGAAGACGAGACGATGCACACGCTTCTCCGCCGTCGGCACCTGCAATTAAATATTCCCTTATATAGGAACCATGTTTGCGATCGATGCGGCTGCTGTAATAACTGAGCACTTTCGTGATAACAAAGCAACAGTTTTGCGAGAGCTAACTCTAAAATAAAATTCGTCACCTTTACAAAATATGTTCCTTTCTATTACGAACAAAAGCGGTTGAGCCGTATTACGAAAGCGATAGGCAAAGCTTGTTACAAAATCTGGTGCATTTATTGCAGAAGTGGTTAGTTCTTACAATTCCTGGTAATTTCATATCGTTTGAAAAGTGGCGAATTCTTAGAAAAGTGATTTAAAAAGAGTTACAACGATTATCACAAAAGTGGTAGCCACACACGTATTTACCACTTGTGCTCAACAAGAAGGCAACTGCTATACCGTTGGCTCACAGAACTGATCGAATTTTAGCTCATTGCTCTATCTGGCGGCAGCGCATCTCCGATTTATATTAAATTAAAACGAACATTTCGTTTACATGGTGATCCGCATTTACCAGCGGTCTAGTTTAGTACACAGTCTGCTTTATATGCCGTCTATTGTATAATTAAGCTCTTAATGACGTCTTATATCCTCACGCATCCCTGAGGTAATGAATAAGATTAGTATAGTCAAGGTACGTAGCCTACTACATGCTTTAATAATGAGCGTACGAAAGAGACGTTATTGCGTACATAACAACCAGCGAGCTCTTCGTATGTTGAGGAAATGCTATATACGTGCATATTCGACACGGAGATATTTAATCAAGAGCTAATAATCCTACCTGTAATAATGTATTATTAGCTCTTGATTTAATGTATATTTAAATTATTTTTGGAATTCACCGGGAACTAGTGTAACGCGTAGTTACCGCATGTAGCGTCGATTATGTTTTCGGTCAACGCGATTACAGCAGTGCAATTACGTGCACGTAAAATTCACGGTTTTAATGGGCTCATTAGCCGTACGTACAAAATCCGCGAATTTTAAATAAACATATTAACACACCACTCCAGGTATATCATCCAACGACATAACAGGAGAGTATAATATAGAGTGTATAATATAGAGTCTATATTTTACACTCCCCGGTAGGATCGACCCGGCGGCTTGCTCAGCTGCGAGGCTCGCTATAAACGGGTTCGGTGGGACTACCTACAGAAGTACTGCTACCGTGGGATCTCACGTAACGAAGATTTCACCTGTTGCTGGCTTGGTCTGTCGACGAGAGCGACGGCCCCGTAAGCATGGCCCGGCTCCTGGATGAACTGGTCGGGTAGGCCCAGCAACCGCGCCGATTCTCCTTGGATTCCATCGCAGGTGAGTACGAGGGTGCGACACCGCGTCTGTACGAGCTCCTTTACCGACTCCTCGCTAAACTGATTGATAAGAACGTGCAATGGTCGATAAATTAATTATGTGACACTCTCCAAGATCGAAATGCTTCGCAGGTAGCCATATACGAGCTACGTGTGCAGTTCATACCTTCGCGGAAATTACGTACACACACACACACACACACACCCACACACACACGAGAAGAGAAAGAGAGAAAGAAGGAGAGAGAGAGAGAGAGAGACGAGAAAGAGAGAGCCAGAGCGAGAGAGAGAGCCAGAGAGAAAGATCGACAGAGAGAGAGAGAGAGAGAGAGAGAGAGAGAGAGAGAGAGAGAGCAGCTAGACGACTAGTAACTCAGGTTTAGTGTAAGGTCTGGCAGCTTTTAATGCGGCCCAATCACACTATTTCGACGGCGGTTAGGGTTAGGGTTAGGGTTATTATTATGATTGTTTCCGGTATTAAAAACTCCTTCCTGACTGAGACTAGACAGTATCGGATGGATTCGCTTAGAAAAGGTTCTGTTATTACATCGGAAGCAAAATCATCGCTATAATCAATGGTGTTTTAATTGCGATTAGATAGATGACTGTAGGCACTCGTATATATACCAAATGCCCGGGACCAAATGACAACGCCGACGAATAAAACACCAAAAAGGAAAGAGAAGAAAAAAGAGGAGAAGGAACAACAAGAGGAAGAGGAAAAAGAAGAAGAGGAACAAAATTAGTAATATACGGAAGCTGAGGATTAGGAGGCGCAAGCGTAGCTAGGCGATGAGTAGAAAAAGAGAGAAAAGATAGAAGGACGAAGAGAAAAGAAGTCAGAGGAGAATAAAGCAGGGACAGAGGCGAGGAAAGCGGAGGAGGAGGAGGAGGAGAAGCAGGAGGAGGAGAACACGGAAATTTAGCCTGCGTATAGGTATGAGCTAAATAATGCTTATATAAACCAATTTGAGCTTCACTGCCATGGCTACGTTTTAATAAATTCTTAAAATGTCTTAAATCATCTTGTTTTTTTTTTATTCAAGTAGCAGCTCGTAAATACACAAAGATTTTTTGCATCGTATTAATTAAACCTATTATGATGTCACACATGACGGAGGACGCGCCACAGGATATCAATTAAAAATGTTAAAATGTGACTATAATTATTATAGCTTATTAATGCACGAAATAGTGTTGGAATAAGCCAGTAAGGCAACGAGGGCGTGTGTTGTGGTGCTGTATGCATGTACGTGTGATATAAGCACCATCCCGCCTCTATATTTTCGGCGCCAACTTCTCTCATCTTGAAACAGAGCACGTATATCATACACACATATGATATCAAGAGTAGATAATAACACATGTGTTATTATCTACTCTTGATGATATACGTGCTCTGCCTGAAAGCTACTGGCCGTTCGCTATAAACGCATGCGCCATACGATTGTAACGCTGCCCTACAAAACGGCGCCGTTTTTTCGTATAGACCGCAAATTCACCAATGTTGCACTATTTCGTCTCTGGAAAAGGCCTTACTTTGATTTTTTGTCCATTAATAGAGTTCATTCATTTGCATTGTGCACGCAAGGTAGATATGCCTCGTGGACGTCCAGAAAGCACATGAAGTGATAGCTACCGCGGAGGCGGAGAGGCTACACACCGGTAGAACTATACATAGTTGAGGTTGGTCTTGACGTGTAATTGTGCCATCCTGTCAAATGGCGTCGCCATAGTGAGCGGTTCCGCCGTTTTGTGTTTGAAAAGCGATCCAACTACGTGCTGGAAATTCTCGAAAACAATCTGGCAAAAGTTTTAATTGAAGATTCAAATATGGATGTGTGGTTGGTTCATTTAGGATGAATACAGTGTATGTCGCGTATGCGCCGAAACTCTCAGAGTATTTTTAATTCATTTCTGTTCGATGCTTATTCAGGTCTGCTGCCTATATGGACGCCTTCTACTGTTGTACAACACCTATAATCTCGAGTTTAACTAAACTTACTTTATTAAACTAAACTGAGTTTAAGAAGATATTAACAAGTGTACACATTTATTATATATATAATATATTATATATGATATAATCTATATGTAAGTATATATATATATATAAGATTATTAAATATGTATGTTTACCAGGACACATAAACTGATGTGCGTGCCATGATTTATGTAAAGTGGAAATGAAAAACAACCCACGAACGTGCGTCGTGCGTGAAGTGGCGTGCGTGGCGTTTCTGCTGCGTGCGGTGCTTGCGTCGCGTCTGTGTGTGAGTGTGTGTGTGTAGTATCTCGCTTGCTCTGCGCGTGATGGGTATATTGGCTTCAATGCGCGATTGGACATCACTATGCAGATCGCCGGTCGCTGAATACGTGACTGGACGACTACGTCGACATCGTCGCTCTTCCGATCTCAGACATTTTTAATCAATATGTCTACGTCAATCGTAATCTAGGCGCATCGTCGCTACGATCGTTTAAATTGACTACGTCGATGACATTTCTTTTACATAAAAAATAAGTACTAACGCAACTAAATGTATACCCCCCCCCTCTCAATTCCTTACCGTAAGTTAAAAATCCAAAAAATCGATTTGATCTATTGATCACGATACTTAAATGCTTGGCTATGGTATGAAGTCACGATCGAGGTGTTTGTTCACATCAGTATGTTAATATAAAGACAGAATCGTGTCCTTTATTTACTCCTGTTTACAATCACAACGAAAGCCCCCCCCCCTCCACAGCACACACAGGAAGGC